GGAGGTCAGAAGAGAGTGTTGGGTTCTCTGGAACTGGGATTATGGACTTAGCTGCCATGTGGGTGCTGGGAACTACTAGGTCCTGTGTAAGAATAGCCAGTGTGCTTAACCACTGAGGCATCCCTCCAGCCCGTATTTTTGTTTTATGATACAGGTCTTATTAACATGTAGCCCAGTCTGATCTTGAATTTGAGATCGTACTGTCTCAAACCTTCCCAATATTGGGATTACAGGTGAGCACTCTTGACTGGCTGAAGGTGTGTTATGATGGAGGCAGAGACCTGGCCTGGAGTTAGCCACATCATTTTAAGCAGCTCTGTCCTCTGCTGCAGTTCATTGTGGCCGTGTCTATTTAGTGCTGTCTTAATCAGGCGTTGTTGTGAAGATGTGCTGCTGGTGGTCCTCAGCTGCAACTTCGACACGCAAACCGCTCAGATCCTGAGTCTGGAGCCAAGGGATGGCACCAAGATCTGCCAGACGGCACATTCGCCTGGCTGCCCTGAGGGCCTCCACTCTCCAAGCTCGTCAGCCTCCTCACAGCCTACCCATCTCTCCCTATTCTTTGATGCTGTTGCACCTTTAGTTTTTTGGTTTTTTGATTTTTTTTTTTTTGATCTTTTTGAGACAGGGTCTCCCTGTAACCCCAGCTGTCCTGAAACTCACTATGTAGACCAGGCTGGCCTGGAGCTCACAGAGATCCACCTGCCTCTGCCTCCTGAGTGCTGGGATTTAAAGTGTGCACCACCACGCCCAGCAGCACCCTTAATTTTAAGTCAGTCTTTTTGGGTTTTTTTGATACCAAGATCTCATTTTGTAGGCCAGACTGGCCTTGAATTTAGTTTGTAGATTGGGCTGGACTTGAACTCTTAGAATCCTCTTGCCTCAACCTCCTGAGTGCTGGATTTATCCACGCACACCACCACACCTGGCGGTTCTTGAAAGCCCAACCATAGGTCATGGCTTCCACCAGGGCTGCTGTGATCACAGATTTGGAAGCAGTCCTTTGAAGTGCAGCACCATTTACCGTTGGAGTTTTTTGTATGTGACGGTGCATTGCACCGTGCTAGATTTGCTCTGTCTAGATTAAGGCCTCCAGGATGTGCTGATTTTGCATTTTTGCAAAAATTCATTTTGGCATGTTCTAGAGGAAAGTAAACTGAGTTTTTATGAGTCTCCATTGGCACTTGGCATCATTGAACAGATGAACATTCTTCTGATTTAATTATGTGTGCTCAGGGAGTGTGGTCAGAGAGGAAAGTTACCTCAGGGTAAGATTTCCTAAATGTAAAGAGTTTTGCTATGTGATAATTTAAATTTTTGCTGTCTGAATATATTTCTGGGGTTCAGGACTCACAGCATGGTATCAGTTGAAGGTCTTGAGTTCATTTTCCTTTTATGCCTTGTCGTGGTCTTGGGTCTGCAGCTCTCTTTAATGAAGCTGTTGGCTCTGATGGCACACAGCACTGCCTCCACTGCATGTAGGTGACCCACGACTCCCTTCCTGTTCCCATGTGTGACGTAGCATGTGTGTATCGCACTAGTCCCTGCCTGGTGGGCATTTTTGTTGTTCACAACTTTTTATTGTTACAGAGGAGAATTTTCAGTCATTTTCCAAGCTCTCTCCTTTCAAGGGGAAAACCTAAATCATGAACCATCATGAACCATCTCTGGAAATAGAGACAATTCACTCGACTTGTTTTAAATACATTTTAATTTAATAAATAACTAAAATGTAAGTTTTATGGTGTCACTGAAGCCATTTGAAACAAGACAAGAACTGCAGGATATATTTGCCTCTTCTTGTCTCCTGTTAATGTTGAATTTTGTTATTCCTGAGGATTCTGGAAACACAGATGCTTGTAATAAGCTGTGCCAGTGTCGCCACTGCTCATCATCATGACACTGTCAGAGAGCACAGGGAGGAAGGGTCTGTTTTGGCTCATCATCTCACAGGTTCTAGTTCATCATGGTGGGGAGGACATGGCAGAGCAAAGCCGTGCACCACGTGGTGGTAGGGAAGGGGGAGGGAGAGAGAATGAGGGAATGGATGAGAATGAGGGAATGAGCGAGAGAGAGCGAGAGAGAGCGAGAGTGAGAGAGAGAGAGAGAGAGAGATATGCTTGTAGGAGCAGACTCCTCCTTTCCCTCCTCGAATCCCAGCCAGGTTCCCAGCCCCTGGGATGGTGCTGTCTGCATTCAGAGAGAGAGAGAGAGAGAGATGCTTGTAGGAGCAGACTCCTCCTTTCCCTCCTTGAATCCCAGCCAGGTTCCCAGCCCCTGGGATGGTGCTGTCTGCATTCACCTCTGGCTTCTTGCCTTGACTAATTATCTCAGAAACACCTTGGCAGACAAATCCAACAGTGTGCTTTCTATCTTGATCCAACCAAGCTGATCGTCGGGATTATCACAGTATCTTTATCAGAGATTAAAATACATTTTATGAGCCTAATGAACATGAAGAAATTAAAGACTTGCTTTCCCCATCTCATTAACACGTGACACCCTTGCTTTGTATTGTGTCCGCTGCTGAGTACAAGTTAGCATCCTACGGTTGGCTTCTTAAATGATGTTCAGCATACTGGTTTGTGCTCTGTGTAGGGACCTGTAAAGCCACGCAGCAGATAATCTCCATAGCAACAGCCACCATCTGTTGAGCAGACACTGTGTTGTAGAATGCTAACATGCTGCCTCTCAACATGGATTCTCTTAGTATTGTTAAATAATTCTGAATCGTTACCCCACAGTTAAGTGATCTGAGGCAGATAGCTTTCCAAAGGAACGTTTTACTGAATCCCCCCGTCTGTGTATTCTTTATGTGACAAGGTGCCCCATCTTACCTACATACGACAGTATAGAGCTCCCTGAAGAGTGGCACTCTTACATGTGCATTTCATTGATTTATAATCACTGCCCGTCCTCATCCCTGTCCACCTCACTGCTGTGCGCTGCTCTGCTCCCCACTGGCTGCGTCCTTGGCTGTTGACTGAATTGTACTCTGTTTCTCTCCTGCCTCTTTTCCTTGATGCCAGCACCTGTGTCCTGGGGGACATGGGGAGTCAGGGAGGATGGGAGGGAAAAGCAAATCTGGTATTAATAATCAGGAACTCACTGACTCAGAGCCCTGTATGACCCACACGCTGTGTTCAAATGCCACCAGATGTCCCAGGCATTTCCCTTCCCCGTTCTGGTCTGGGACCCTATACAAGAGCACACACTGAATTTAATAACAAATGAATATATTCTGGTCATTAGAGTTCTAACCTAATTCCCCAGGGCTCTTCTCAGCCTGTGTTCTGAGGTGAGACACGGCTCTATTGCCTTTAGTGTATTCCCTTAATGTCCACTTAGTTCATTTTCCTCACTGTTACCTGTAGTCCAGGAGATAGAAGTCCCTCTGCCACCTGATGTCCTCCTCCATCTGATCGCCCCCCACCCCCCTGCTGCCTTCCTTCCCGAGGTGGGAGGGAACAAGAGAGCTCGCCCGCCCATGTTATGCTAAGACCCAAAATCCTCTCCAAGGCTCACATCGTGAGCTCCTGGTCTTGAGCTGGTCATGCTGCTGGGGAAGTTTCTGAAGTTTCAAGACCAGTTCTTGTTGAGAGAAGCAAGTTGCTAGGGACAGGGCTTGGAAGGTGACCCCAGTCCCTCCCCCTGCACGCTCTCTGCCCCTGGGCTCCTGTGCTGAGCATGACTGTGCCATCTGTTGCTTCTGCCACCATGAAGTGAGATGCTCTGCCGGCCCTTCCCCATCAGCATGAACTGAAACTCCAAAACTGTGAGCCACAGGTTTCCTCAGCTCCGTCACCTCGGCAGGTCTTGTGGCCACAGGGATGCATAAATAATTAATACATTCACCCAAGTGAAGGAAGCTGCCGCCAGAGCTGAAAAACGCCGCATGCCGTGGCTGGGGACGTGGTTTGGTGGCTGGACACTTGCTGCTCCCGTCGAGGACCTCAATTCAGTTCTTAACGTTGACATCAGGAGGCTCACAACCTGTAGCTTCAATTCTCCGGGAAATTCTGGCTCCATAGGCTCCTATACTCGTGTACACACACACTATTAAAAAAGTACCTTAAAAAGAGAAAATGTCATATTTAATGTTACACTCTGTGTCTCCTAAGGAAGTTGCTGACATTTAAAAAAGTCAAATCTTTGTTACCAGCCCTTTTCTCATATTACAGCTCTTCCCCGTGTGGACCAGGGGTTTCAGGCAGGGGCTCACAGCTGCATTTCTTTGACACATTTGCATTCTTGCCTGGTGGTGGGACAGTGCCTCTGAGAGGGGAGAGTCTGGGCCATGGGCAGAAACCTGCTGCTGCCAGAATGTTTTAAGGGATGTGTGAAACTGCTGGAAGGGCTCATGCACTGATCCTATGTGGAGTCTCTAAGCTCCCTCATGGGCTTATGCACTGATCGTATGTGGAGTCTCTAAGCTCCCTCATGGGCTCATTCACTGATTGTATGTGGAGTCTCTTAAGTTCTCTCATGAGGTCATACACTGATCATATGTCGAGTCTCTTAAGTTCTCTCATGAGGTCATACACTGATCATACATGGAGTCTCTAAGTTCTTTCATGGGATCATGCACTGGTCATATGTGGAGTCTCCTAAGTTCTCTCATGAGATCATACACTGATCATACATGGGTCTCTAAGTTCTCTCATAAGATCATATACCGATCATAAATGGAGTCTCTAAGTTCTCTCATAAGACCGACCATACACTGATCATATGTGGAGTCTCTAAGTTCTCTCATGAGGTCATACACTGATCACATCTGGAGTCTTTTTCTGATGGGATCATATACCGATCATGCATGGACTCTCTAAATTCTCTCATGAGGTCACTGATCATATGTGGAGTCTCTAAGTTCTCACATGGGATCACACACTGATCACATGTGGAGTCTTTTATGTCCTTTCATGCCTGTCCCAGCTTCTGTCTCATTACTAGATCCAGAAGGGCTGGTGTCAAGCCCATACCATGTGCTTTCTACCCAGATTTCCAATTTCTTGAAAGAAGCCAGGCATGCCCCAGCCGCAGCCACCTCCTTCCGGAATACTGGAGAGAGGTGGTGGAGAAGCCTGGCTTGGCTTGTCGTGGTCAAAACCCCAGACCTGAGCATAGCAGGAAAGTTCTCGGAGTCATCTGAAGCCCAGTTCCAGGCCTGTGTGAGTCATGATGATCTAAGAAATTCATCTGTTTCCTATTTTCTGGAGACTTAGTTGGTTGCTATTATCAACAGTGTTTAGGTTTAAGTAATAGAAACGAAGGTATAGAGTTTCCTGTGTATGCTGGGTTCAAGTTTTCTTCAGTTGTCGGCTGGTTCATCCTGCAGATTCTGTGGCACAGGTTTACATTAAACAATCTCTTGCATAGCAGAAAATAGCTGAAGTCATTGGAGGGTAACTGAGTCCTTTAAAATTTCACTTACTTAAAAATTGGATTAAGTATTATTTATACTGATTTCAAATCTGATACAGTTTAGATTTTTGAACAAGAGATTTGAGCATGGTGTGGTGGTGCACATGTATGATCTCAGCACTTAGGAGGTGGCGGCAGGAGAATTAGAAGTTCAGGTCTGGCGTTCAGGGTTATCCTTGGCTATCTAGCAAGTTCAAGGCTAGCCAGGGCTACACAGACCCTTGTCAAAGAAAACGAAGTTTTGTAATGTTGTTCACTTGACTAAATACTGAAGTTTTTTGCTTCTGTGTGTCGGGGGTGGGGGGAGCACACATGCATATGGTGCACATACATGTGCATGCACATGGAGACCAGAGGTTGATGTCAGGTGTCTTGATCGCTCTCCGTTTTGTTTACTTAAGGTCTCTTGCTGCACTTAGAACTTGCAGATTGGGCTGGTCTAGCTAGCCAGCTTGTCCTGGGGTCCCCACCTCTACCTCTCCAGAGCTGAGGTTGCAGGTGGGTTGCTGTACTTACCCAGCCTTTGTGTGGGTACTGCAGATCTGAACTCTGGTCTCTACTGTTGTGACAAATACATTATCCATGGAGCTGTCTCTCCAGTTCCTGAAGATTGAGTCTTAGAATTTTAAGGTGTGATTCCATTTTAAAATATGAAATAAAGTAAATACATAAACATTAGAATATAATTTGAGAAAAAAATTAGAAAATATCAAAACTCTACCTGTAAACTTTGGAAATGGTCCTATTTTGGAATTTAAAAAAGTCATGAATCAGGACTGAAGTGTACCATGTCTTAGGTTTTTAAATTTCCACTGAGTTTCCTATGTAATGAGGTTCCTCAGGAAACATGTGGCCGAGAAGCTCTAAAGAGTGAGTGAGTGTGTGTGTGTGTGTGTGTGAGAGAGAGAGAGAGAGAGAGAGAGAGAGAGAGAGAGAGAGAGAGAGAGAGAGAGAGAGAGAGAGAGAGAGAGAGAGAGAGAGAGAGAGGGAGAGAATGCTCTCTTCATCCAGAGTACCTGAAGACTTTAATGATTACAGAAGTACTCCTATTTACAAGCCAAAGAACTCTCTACACAGACCCTGGGGATCCCTTGTTAGAAGATGTAAAAGGCCCAACGACTGATATAGAAAGTTAAGAGCAGGTTAAGACAGAAAATTTATAATTTTCCCATAAAATTATCTGCAAGAATTAAAACCTGTTAAACGTCTTAGACAAAAGGATATTCCATTTTATTTGTATGTATGTATGTGTGTATGTATGTATGTATGTATGTATGATTAGTTGGCAGGCCTTGGGATTAAACCTATGGCCTTATACATGTTAGGTGTGCAGTCTACAACTGAGCTACCCTAACCCTGGGTATTCCATTTTTAAGTATCTGAATGAGATGAACTTTTGAAAACATTTCATGTCTTTTAATGGTAAAGGTAGAAGGTGTATCAGATTGTTAAATAATTTGGGAGTGGTCGTGTTGTTCCGTAGCGATCTAAAGTGACCCATCAGCTAAGAGGGACACATTTACTCTGGATGTGGGAAATCCCTCTTGAAAAGTGAAGAACATTCACTAGAAATACCAGGTGCTTTGGCTAAAAGCTCAGTCATTGATTCCTTTCTAAAGGTTTTATTTATGTGTATGTGTCTGAGTGTGTGCTACATGTATGCTGGTGTGTCAGAGGCCAGAAAGGGCGCAGGAGTCCCCTGATGTGGATGCTGGCAACCAAATTTGGGTCCTCCAGAAGAGCAGAGAGCACTCTTAACTGTGCGGCCACTTCTCCAGCCCTAGTTACTGATTCTTATGCGTTACAGCGAGGCGGTCTGAAGAGACACGGTCACAGCACAGCTTCCCTGACTCTCAGTCCCTAGCGTTAGAAACATAGGAAAGGCCCACTTGATCGATTGTATTATGCTTTGCTATGGTTCACCCTAACAAATGAGCAAACTGTTATGAGAAGAATGTAGGATATTTTGTAGCAATCTGATGAGAAGATGGAAAAAGTGTTGAGCATTCAACCACTCCCTCACACGTGGAAAACTTGCATTAAGTGAGCTTGTTATCAAGAGTTCCTCTTTTGAAAGTGGGCACTCGAGCGGATGCAGCGTTCACTTGTGCAGTGTTTAGAATGGTACCTCCCACACTGCCAGCCCTCAGATTTGCTGAGGAAATAAAGGAAAGATGACACTGAAAATTTCAATTAAAAAGTTTGGGAGGAAAGAGACTATTCTTTCAAATAAACCAAGAGCACCTGACAGCAACTGATCTGCCTTTTCTCCCTAGAGTCCAGCTTTTCTGGAATGTCATTTATGTGTGGGCCTGTGTGCGTGCGTGTGTGCCAATGTGTGTGCCCACAGAGGCCAAAAGAGCACGTAAAGTCTCCTCTCCTGTCACTCGCTGCCTTCAGTCCTGAGAAAGGCGCTCTCACTGATTCCCAAGCTAGCTGGCAGGCCATTGTGCATGCAGGCTCCAGCTGTCTCCACCCCCGAGTGCTGGAGTTACAGGTATGGCAGCCTTTCATATTGACATTTAAATTGAAATGGACAGCACTTGGTCTTTCATCATCATATTACTTAGAATAAGTCTTTTGAGATTTATTTCAGTGCTTAAGTGTATCATTTGACTATTGTTTTGGTCTTGAATAGTAATCTAGTATATAAATGTACAATTCTTAGGTTTTATTATTTATTTTGTTCGTATGCATATGTATGTGTGGGGCCCTTGTGCCACGGCATGCACGTGGTGGTCAGAAGACAAATTTCAAGAGTTGGTTCCATCTTTCTGTCATGTGTGTCCTAGGACTCGAACTCAGGTTGTTGGGCTTGGCAACAAGTACCTTTACCTGCTGGGTCGTCTCAACGGTCCTAAATGAACAATTCTTTAAAAAAATTGTATTTTCTTTTTGTCTTTTTGAGACAGAGTCTCCCTGTAACCCCAGCTGTCCTAGAACTCACTATGTAGACCAGGCTGGCTTGAACTCACAGAGATCCTCCTGCCTCTGCCTTCCAAGTGCTGGGACTACAGGTGTGTGCCACCATGCCCGGACTAAAAAATTGTATTTTATATATGTAGGAGTGTTTTGCTTGCATGTATGTAAGTATACCACATGTGTGCAATGTTTGTGGAGGCCAGCAGAGGGCGTCAGATCCCCTGGAACTGGAGTTATGAATGGTTGTCAGCTGCCGTGTGGGTGCTGGAAACCAAACCTGAGTCCTCTGCAAAAGGAGCTAGTGCTCTTAATCACTCAGCCATCTCCTTTATCCCCTAAGTACAATTCTTAAAAAGTGCTTGTTCTATAGTTGAGAGGCATCTGAATACTCGTCACCAGCCCTGGAAGATAAAATTTGCCTTTCAATTAAATGAAAATGTTTAGTTGAGTCCCTTAATTTTGCCTCTAAGGGGATGAGGTGGAAGAGGCCATTCCTGACTGTCAAACCATACAATGCTGCTTAAAGGCAAAGCCAGGACCAAGGGACACTCCTGACACACAACTCTGGGGTCCTCAGCAACTTCCCTTCCAAGTTGAGGTGGGGACCATGCCTGCATATCCTGCAGCTGAAGTAGAAAGAACACACTCACATTTCTGTATGCGGTGGCCTGTCCAGTGCTGGGCTGTGTGCACCAGGTGCTCAGTAAGCTATACTCAGCTGCCTCCTCTAATGTAAATGACCTTTATAATGAACATAATGAACTAGAAAATCCCCAGTCAGCAGTTTATATAGTGTCAATCATTTTATAATCTTCCACTTTAAAATATTTATTATTTTATTTATGTGTATGTGTGTGATTCTGTATATGGATATGTGCAAACAGTTGCAATGCCCTTGGGGGCCAGAGAGGGCATTGGACCTCCAGGAGCTGGAGTTACAGGCAGTTTTGAGCTGCCTGACATGGGTGCTGGGAACTGCACTTGGGTCGTTTGCCAGAGACATCTCTCCAGGCCTGCTCATCTTCTCTTTAAGAAGATACACAGCGTTCAGGCCGCAAGTACAAGTTCTTTTGGAGGGCTCCCTTGGTCATTTTAGTTGGGAAGAGGACATTTTAGGAGCTCTGATGTCAGTTGCTGCATTGGGCCAGGTCGGCCAGCTTACACAGTGCAGTCCAGCTTACACAGTCCAGTCCAGCTTACACAGTGCAGGCCAGCTTACACAGTCCAGTCCAGCTTACACAGTGCAGTCCAGCTTACACAGTCCAGTCCAGCTTACACAGTGCAGGCCAGCTTACACAGTCCAGTCCAGCTTACACAGTGCAGGCCAGCTTACACAGTCCAGTCCAGCTTACACAGTGCAGGCCAGCTTACACAGTCCAGTCCAGCTTACACAGTGCAGGCCAGCTTACACAGTCCAGTCCAGCTTACACAGTGCAGGCCAGCTTACACAGTCCAGTCCAGCTTACACAGTGCAGGCCAGCTTACACAGTCCAGTCCAGCTTACACAGTGCAGGCCAGCTTACACAGTCCAGTCCAGCTTACACAGTGCAGGCCAGCTTACACAGTCCAGTCCAGCTTACACAGTGCAGGCCAGCTTACACAGTCCAGTCCAGCTTACACAGTGCAGTCCAGTTTACACAGTGCAGTCCAGCTTACCCAGTGCAGTCCAGCTTACACAGTCCAGCTTACACAGTCCAGTTTACACAGTCCAGTCCAGCTTACATTACACAGTCCAGCTTACACAGTGCAGTCCAGTTTACACAGTGCAGTCCAGTTTACACAGTGCAGTCCAGTTTTCACAGTCCAGTCCAGCTTACACAGTCCA